AAATATTATCCATTATTTTCTCTCTTTTTTACTAATGATAGTGAACCACGGGTAGACCATATAAATGTTGATTAACCCTAGACGTCACACAATGTCGTTAACATGAGAGTTTACGCATAGAGAAACTTAATATATAAATTAAGGTACATAAAATAATTAAGGGTCCACTTGGCAAAGAAGTATTTCTCCTATAAAGTTTTTTTGGCAGAGAATTGTACTAAGGAGTTAAAAAGAACGTGCAAAGATGTACCGTTAGTGACTAGACATCCCTTAAATTTGTGCTTGGTTGCCGAGAATGATTTGATCTATTTGCTTTTGCTTTACTATCTTACCAAAGTCCAAAGAGACACAAAGGGTTACGATTAAAACATGGGAAGGACGAGTTTGGGTCCGACAAACGGCATTTTCTATACTTGAGAATCATCATCACCTTACTCTACTTTACATTCTATGCCTTTAAAGTCTATTTCATAAAGTTTATTCTTTCGCATTTCACTTGCTTAAATTTCATTATTATTCACTGCCCATTTCATTCCTAGCTACTCTCCAAAACACAAGATGCAGGGGAAGCCTTCTATACCATATATTTCAGGAAAAAGGTGAATGAAAATAGATAAGTGCATTTCCCACTTTAAATATCTCTAATTCAAACCAACCCAAACGGATTCAATTCATTTTGCTTGGATCGTCGAATTAATCATGTCAATCTGATCTGAGCAACACTGATAATTCTCTCAATTTCTAATCAAATGAGTAATATATTTTTTTTATTTTTATCAAATCAAGTTTGAACTCAATTAAAATTTATTTATTATAATTTTTTATAACATTATATATTCAGAGATTTTAAATAAACCAGTCACAACAAAATACGGTAACTTAGACAAATGAATTTAAACTAAAAGGAAAAAAAAAAAAAAGTAAATCAATGACATCTATAAAAAAAATAATAATAATAATTTAAACACAAATAATCTATGCAAACTAACACAAATTACATACTCCAAATCATAACAATCATTATCAAAACTATAGAAACTCAATATTCATGCATGAAATATGTAATGTGTCTAATCTCATATCGTAATAGCTTAAAAGTGGTGTTTGATAAGCATAGGTTGTTGATTTTAAAATTCTCAAATTCCAAAATAAGAATTCATTTGCACCGAAAACTTTTCCAATTTTGTTTTCCTCTTTTAATTGGAAAATCCTTTTTATTCCATACATATATATAAGCTATAAAGGAGCCAAAATCAGCAACCGGTTCAAGAACGTAAAAGGTAGAGTCAAGACTTCAAGAACCATAATGCGTTAGGGTCATTTCATGAAATCATGGACCACACTAAGATATCTCCCTAATTTGTACCACTCTCTTAATTTATTCTTTAAAATAAAGACATATACATATAGATATATATAGTAGAATTTTCTTTTCCCCCATCTTTAGTCTGCAAATGAAAGTTTTCTGTATTTGATTAATATGAATCATTATCACTTTTGAAATTCCATTGTATCTGAAGGTTGTGTTATTACTAGGAGCTGCAAGGTCATTAACATTTTCACAATGAATCCATTATGCGTGTGACTTAATCTTTAATTGTATCCACTTGATCTTCAGATTTGAATATAAGAGAATAATTAATTCATATTCCACATATATATATCAAACTTAATTATGTAGTTTTAGTAAGAGATTGGAAATTATATATGACAATTTGAATTAATGCAAGCCACGTGGGATCTATGTTCTATATGACATTAAGGTAGTTTCGTCATTAAATGAAGGTTAGGATGGAGATTTATGTTCAAGTTGCAATAATTTCGTACAAACAGAGGAAATAAAAAGCAAAACAAAGAAAAAATCCCGCATCATTTTGTTAATCAGACAGAATTAAAGTGTTAATTAATGGCATCCTCTTTTGAACGCTTTTCAGCAAAGTTAAACCTTCAGTGCTAAGGGAATGGTAATACTCGGTATCACTTTTGTATCAAAAGGTTGCTTGAATGTTAGTGATCAGGTATATGTATGAGAATACGATTTGTCATTTCATTCATAGACATATATATACTCTCAAACCAGACATATAGAACTTAATTTATTTATTTTTAACAGGATTCAAAGGCATTACTTCCACTTCACACTTATTATATTCATTCAAGTAAACTTCACAAAAGTCCCCCTTTATTTTTACGATAATTAAAAATAGTTTTTTTTTATTCATGATTAAAATTATAACAGTAACACTTAAGATTCAAACTTTAAACTTTATACATTTTACTCGAATTCTTACTATTAGACCAATTCTAATGATTTAAAAACAGTCTTAAAGTTCAGAAAATTAACAATGATTTTTTTTCCAATCAAAACAACTATATATCTCAAATTTAAAAGAATAATAATAAGCAATTACCATATTGATTGTATCATTAAGTATTACAAAACATTAGTAATATCTCATTAAAACATCAATACGTAGAGTTTTGTATTAAACAATGTCTTTTTTACACGTTTGTTAGTTTCATATCAATAATATATAATAACTAAAAGATCAATTTTATTTAATAATATAATTTTTTTAGTACCATAATATCGACAAAAGTATGTATCGATTTTATTGAAAATTAGTATCCTCAAGACTTTAACTATATTATAATTATACATTTTAATGTTATTTTTTTATCAAACTTAAAACTTAAACTCAAGATCTTAAATTTTAAAAATTAAAATATTGATTATTTAATAATATTTTTATTGGAAAAATAAATTTATTATTAAATTAGAAATACAATAGATACAGAATACATATATAACCTATTGCATAACACTACCAAGTTTAAATCAAAACTATCTTAGAATGAGAATGAATCCCATGCAGCAAAAAGCCACAACAGACACTAATACTTAGATGAGACCATGCCCATGTCATGTCACTTAAGGTTTCAAAAAAAAATGTCTGGCTACACAAAGAAATCATATCCTTGGCTGTTATCTGCATTCTGTAAACTGCTGCTATATTCTGATATATAGGGTGATAAGGGTTAAAAACGAATGTTCATACAAATTTAGAAATTGGTTTGCTTAATTTATTGATCTCTTATCATTGTAGTTGATTTCAAACAAGGCAAACCATGATTTAATTTTCATTTTAAATTTGATAAAGGTGATCAGGTTAGAAATATTTCACTTGAAGATTAGATAAAGAAAAAAGTGGATTTCTTTCCAAATTGGTGTAACTCCCCTTTATTCGTCTACATGATACAATTTTCCTAATTAACTTCTTGTTTAGCTACTTAATTAATTTTAGCTACTTAATTAATTATGTGTTTTGTTATTTGAATTGACGTATATATATTGGGTTCGAATAGTCCTTAGTAAAATTGCTTTGCTTGTGTGAAAAACCTATCTATAAATTTTTATTAAGTTATAAATTATATTTAAAAAGTTTTTTTATTGACTTTTCTTTCTATCTATCTCCCTTCTCTCTTACATTTCCATCTCACTCCTAAGCCTTTCTATCATCGTTCAATTTTCATTTCATTTTCATATTCATTTAAGAAATAAAAGTGAATATTAATTTAAAATGACCAAATGATATGATTATAACTTCAATTAGTTTATTAATTTCTTCACTTGATATGGATGCCCTTCATTTATTTTCAAAATTGAAAGATTTTAAAAGAAGTACTAACAAAACAAATTAATATGTATTAAAGTAATAAATTATATCAAAATATTAAATTATTTTTCAAATAGATACATTCGTAATACAATTTTTGTTTCTATCGCCAAAAGAATTATCTTAATTTTAAATTTGCTTAAACCTAATTTGAGATTACTAAAAAATGCATTGGATAAATTAGTCATATTTTCTACTGAAAAATGTTAGAATTACCTATTTATAAAACTTTCACAAATAATTTGTAACAAAAATAAAAAAAAATAATAAAAAAAGGGTAATTAATGAATTAATGTTAGATCAATTCCTAAACATAAAATTTGCCAATATCGATCCCTAAAATTTCTAGACTCGACTTGGATATATATGACACCGCGTATGCAGTCAACCAAATAATACATATGGTAAAGTCAATGGAAATTTATTAGGCAATGCAACTTGTAATTTTTGAGTACCTACTGGAAAACATTATTTAACTTAACCTAAAAACTTAATTTGGCTTTCACTAAGACCAAAATCTCAATTTACTTTTTTAACTATGTGCTTTCGTCCATTTCCGAACCTTTTAATTAAAAATTACCTGATTTTTCTATGGACAAACAGACCATATATCAGTATACTAAATAAATAAATTGTCTACTTACACAACTCTTTTGAATTGCCGCACAGAAAATATAAGAATTTGAAAAGATGCACCTGCAATAATCATGCAAAGCCAAAGAAATTCGCAACCAATTCAAACACCACCAATACAATTATTTACTAATTAAATGTACATTTAGCACAAAAATTCAGTATAAGTGCACTCCCGCTCCCCGGTTTCCTACACACACGTTTAGATATGGTTGACAATAATAATAACCTTTGTATAGTGGCCATTTAATTTATTAATTTGAACAAATTAATGAAAAGGGAATAGAAGAAGACCAGAACAGAATCTGGTACTAAAAATAATTTACTAATATCATTAGCTCACAAAAGCACTGATAATTATGGATAACCAAGTCGATTAGTGGACTAAACCAAATCAAGCCATACTTGGACTATAAGCACCAGGGCACCGACTACAAGGTAATTAACGGGCTAATTCTAATTGGCTTCCTTGACCTAGACAAAATTATTTATATATATAGCAAGTCATAATACGAAATGATGATCATACTATCGATGATGCCATACAATATTATAAATATTTATATATATAAAAACATAGAAAAAAGAAAGTAAAAACATATATAAAATAATAGTAAATATATATAAGTTAGTGCAAATAGGTAAAAAGTGGAAATGGAAATATGAGGGAGGAAAAGGGGAACAAAAGCACCTTCAGATAGGGCCCATGACATGTCCTCTCAAAAGACCCCAAGATGTGATTTTCATCTCTCTCCACTGCACTAACACATTCTTTCCTTCACCTCATTCCTCCTTCCACTCCTAGTTTTTCCAATTTCCAGCTACCATGTCCGGCGAAATGCAAAACGACTCCGCCTCCTCATCAAGAGCCGCCGCCACCACCGCCGATCAGCGTCAGCAGCAGCC